GTTCAAAACCACATTTTTAAGGTATTTCAAGAATTTTCTAGGAACGGCCTATAAATTTAGTGAAACCCTCAAGAAATCTAGTGAGACCCTCGAGGTTATGAAAAAGGACCAACTAGAAATTAAGCATGCACTGACTGAAATAAACAATATTATACAGACATCCAACAGCAGACTAGAGGATCGCAAGAATCAAGTCAAAGATTTGATATACAAAGAAGCAAAAAACACCCAACAGGAAAAACAAAAAGAAAAAAGTATCCAAAAATATGAAGATAGAGTAAGGAGCCTCTGGGACAACTTCAAACGTACCAACATCCAAATTATGGGGGTGCCAGAAGAAGAGAGAGAGCAAGATATTGAAAACCTATTTGAAGAAATAATGACAGAAAACTTCCCCTACCTGGTGAAAGAAATAGACTTACAAGTCCAGGAAGCGCAGAGAACCCCAAACAAAAGGAATCCAAAGAGGACCACACCAAGACACATCATAATTAAAATGCCAAGAGCAAAAGACAAAGGGAGAATCTTAAAAGCAGCAAGAGAAAAACAGTCAGTTACCTACAAGGGAGTACCCATACGACTGTCAGCTGATTTCTCAACAGAAACTATGCAGGCCAAAAGGGAGTGGCAAGAAATATTCAAAGTGATGAATGACAAGAACCTACAACCAAGATTACTTTACCCAACAAAGCTATAATTCAGAATTGAAGGTCAGATAAAGAGCATCACAGATAAGAAAAAGCTAAAGGAGTTCATCACCACCAAACCAGTATTATATGAAATGCTGAAAGGTTTCCTTTAAGAAGAGGAGAAGAAGAAAAAGGTAAAGATACAAATTGTGAACAACAAATACACATCTATCAACAAGTGAATCTAAAAATCAAGTGAATTGGGCGCCCGGCTAGCTCAGTCGGTAGAGCATGAGACTCTTAAAAATCAAGTGAATAAATAATCTGATGAACAGAATAAACTGGTGAATATAATAGAATCAGGGGCATAGAAAGGGAGTGGACTGACTATTCTCGGGGGGGGGGGGGGCGGAAGGGATGTGGGGGGTGCGGGAAGGGAATGGACAAAAATCGTGCACCTATGGATGAGGACAGTGGGTGGGGTGAGGGCAGAAGGGGGGTGGGAACCGGGTGAAGGGGAGCTATGGGGGAAAAAAAGAAGAACAACTGTATTAATCTGAACAATAAAGAATTAATTTAAATAAATAAATAAATAACCAAAAATAAATAAATAAATAAATAAATAAATAAATAAATAAATAAAGGGCCAGAAGGTTGAGAACCACTACCCTAAAGGGATCTACCTGGTCTCCAGCCCCTAGTATCTCCCTTCTGCATAGCTCCTGCCCACAGCTCCTGCATCAATCACTCTGCACTGAGCCCTCCCTCTCCCTCTCAAGGCGCCAGGGAAAGCCCTTCGTGCTCCCATTGCTACAGAACAAAGTGCACAGGCTGCAGGCACCCAAGGCTCTCGCAGTCTAATCCACCACCGGCCCTGCTTTAGCCTCACCATCTCCTCTCCACTCAGCCCACTGTCTCCATGTGTCGCTGACACTCGGTGAGAGCATGTCCCCACCTGCTCCTGGTGGCGGCCACCCCCCTTCTGCAGGTGTTACTCCTCTGCTACCTCCACAGCTTCTCCTCCTCCAGGTGGTGCTCTCTGCACCCCTCCGGGCCCCATGGCCCAGCAGCTCTGTGCAGAGGATTTCTGTCCATCCCCTTCCTTTAACTGCAAGGAAGTTTGCTCAAATCCATTGGCCCCTGGGCCACGTTTTCTAGGTGATGCTCTGTCATCAGGGGTAGAAACACCTTTGTAATCACAGCTCCCCACCCCCAGCTCCTTTCCTCTGTGGCTGGTTGATGGGACTTGTGCTGCCTTGAGGCAGTCACATTCAAGGCTTGTGTGAGGGCTTCAGAAGAGAAATAGAAGTGAAGGTCCTTCTGCCTGCAGGGGCTCAGGCCTCCCTCGCCTGCCTGGAGCAGGGGACAGGCCTCCATGTGGTCTAGCCTGGTTCACTGGATCCCACCTGAGAGGCCTGAGCTGAGGGCCCAGCTAATGAACCCAAAGTATCATTCTACTTTGCTGTGGCCTCTGGGCAGCGACCCTCATTCAGACTCAACTGATGTTGAATCCTGATTACCCTTCAGGGTTGGTTCTCTTTGACTGACACCTGGGGGCCCAGAAAATGCTTGATGAAGATGGGACTGCATTCCCTGAGGCTGCCAGTCTGCTGGACAACCTGTCTGACTTACCCTGAACTGGAGTGGGACCTCCAAGATATTTGGAACCATTTTTCTTCCACGGGCTGAGCAACTATGTCCCAAGTTCATTGCTATGGGACTGTACTATATTTGGGGGATAAATATTCACAGAGTCCTAGAAGGTCAAAGGTGAAAGCAAGCATTCAATACCATCCAATCTAAGCCCTAAGGAACAGGGTGGACAGGGAGTGTCCAAGGCCATTCAGTAGACATCAGCAGAGCCGCACTGGGTCCCCTGTCTCCTGTCTCCTTGCCGTGTATTTTTGTGACATTTGCTGGTCTCAGCCTTCAGAGTCTTGCCCAGGGAGCCTGGCCTAATCTTTTAGCTCTTGGCTCCCAGGTCCGCCCAGCTCTTCACAGTCAAGTGGCCCGCTCACCAGGCCACAAGCCCTGCTCTCACTTCTGACCCTTCTCCTGCCTCCCACACCCCCTTCTCTCCCTAAGTTCCCACTTCAGGCCTCTCTTCCTAAGGCAGGTTTGGGTGGACAACATCCATCACCTCCGAACAGAATGACATTATGTAAGTTTCTCTCTGTGGGCATCTGCTGCCATGCCCTCCTCTGCCTGGAAAAGTGGAGGAAAACACCGACGATTCCCCACAGTTCACTGAGGGTAAGTCCATTTATCGGGGCAGGCCTAACACCACTCCAGAATGAAGTCTCCATTCATTTGTTTTAACCTGACTGAAAACGGCGCCTGGCTGCCACCCCTCCCAGGCCACCTCATGTTACCACAGGTGTCCTTACAGAGGATTGCGCTCTTGTTTCCCCTGGGAGACTAGTAAGTCCTTCAGGCAGAAACAAGCTGTGCTAGACTCTGTTTCCTTAGCTACAGCAGCCAAAGTTTTCTCCAGTTGCTGCAGAGAGAAAGAGGAAGCTGCTGTGAAAACTCCACTGCCCGCTATTTGTGGTTTGATGAAAATAATTACATTCACATCTATCCTGTATTAAACTTGATATCATTCTCATTCAATAAGACGGGTTCAGTCATTCCCAATAATTTCCCTTATTGTCTTTATTAAGGTTTGCGTTAAAGAACCAGGCAGCTCGTAACTGATGGAGTCAGACCTGGTGGGCCCAAGCTGCCTACTGGAGTGGGCAAACTTTGCCAAAGGTGTAAATAAAGTCTATTTCTCTGAACTTAAACATAGAGAACCCCGGAGAATTGGAGCCTTTGAACATCACCATGGAGGAAGCCTGGAGGAGGACGAGGGACATTCTAAAGGTCACTGAGTAGGTTCTGGGTTGAGGAGGAGTGGAAACCAGGCCCGTACACCTTTTATTATCCTGTGACAGCACCACTTACCTTTGCAACCAGCAACCATTTCAGCACTTCCACGTGTATGGGTACTGAGACCAAATTACTAAATTGCTCCTGTGTAGAGAGGGCAGTGGAACTGCTTCACTGACTGCATAGATCACTTGTAACCAGTCTCTTCATTCCTGGGCATCCCTGGGTATTCCTAAAGGCCTGGGGCATGTTTTCCTATTATGTGGGCTCAGTAGCTTCCTTCCACTCCTGCCTATAGCACCTTCGTTTTGCTTGGTCAACTCTTTATTTCCAGACATTACTGTGAAGTTTGACTCTAGCTCCACCCTGGCCTAATCTATATATATAAAAGGCTAAGACACCAGCAGACTGGCCAGTAGGTATGACACGCACCAACCACCAGGGGGCCGACGTTCAATGCAGGAGCTGCCAAGCAACAGCAATTTGCAGAGTGCCCTCTCACACTCCGGGACCCCTCGGGAATGTCCGACTGCTGGTTTCAGCCTGATCCCTGCAGGCCAGGCTGAGGGACCTTGCTCACTCTGCAGACACCCTTCCAGCTCCTTCGAGTCCCAGCTTCGCCCCATTGAGGTCGGCCAGGGGAGGGATGGCGGGAGGTTGGTTCCAGGGCTTGTTGTGCCCATCTCCCCCAGTCCTTCCTCACCAGACACCTTCTAATTAATTTCCTTTCAATGCGCATGAATCCGTGTACTGGGCCTCTAGTATTTACATATTGGGGTTTGCAGGAAGTAGAGAGCAGGGTCCTGTGTGGTGGAGGCCTCTCCAACACTCTGGTTCAAAGGGAGAAGGTTTATTGGGGAGCTCGGGGCAGAAGTATTGGGTTAGGTGGGTAGACCGGCTTTCTGAGAAGAGAGGGGGAGAACTAGCAGGCCTCCACCCATGAGAAGCAATTCAAGGACCTGAGACGCCCTTCGTCTTGCTGTCTAACACCTATTCCTTGTTTGCTACTAGGTAAATCCCTTGAGAAAGGGAACAGTTTCACTGGCCATACTGGGCCCCTTCCAGGATCCACCAAGGACCATCGGATCCAATGGGTCTCTGTCGGATCCCAGCCGCTCCATGTAAGGGCTGAAAGACACAGTGAGTCCCGTGCCCTCCCTGAGCCTTCTTCCCGTGTACAGTAGAGACAGCCATAATCTTGGCCATGCAGCCGGTGTTCAGTACCCGGTCCTCCTAGCGGCACTCTGCACAGAGTGAGAGAAATTTTGACATCACCTAGTCTAACTTTCTTGCCTTAACCGGTGAGAAAACTGGGGTCCAGAGAGGAGCTATGGCTCTCAAAGTCACAAAGCGCGAGACAAGAAGACCCACGTGCTCTGATTTCGGATGGAGGGCTTTCCATGACTCTGCGCTCTCTCTCCAAAGCCCCCCAGAGGCAGACATGCCAGCCTGTGGCTCAGGAGCGCAGCCTCCACAACCTTCCCTGTCTGGGCTGCTCACCTTCACATGGTACCAGCCGAATCCGAGGAGGCAGGACAACGGGGGTCTGGGGTGAGAGGTCAATCACACACTGATAGAGCCCCACGTCCTGCCTCTGGAGCTCCCGCACGGTGACTCTGAACATGACCTCGGTGGGGTCGTCCTCCAGCAGGTATCTCCCGGCCTGGGCCATGTTCAGGTCCGCGTTCCTGGTGTCTGTGCGCACCAGTGTCTCTGGGGGCCCGCGGCTCCTCACCCGCTGCCAGGCCTTCAGGCTGGAGGCGTACTGCCTGGTGTACAAACAGGAAATGGTCAGGTTGCTGCCTTCCAGCAGGCACATTTGCTCCTCGTCTTCACCTCGGAGTCCTAGAATGAGAGGGCGAAGAGCTTCATTGAGCAGCCTTCCTCCCACCGTCCCCACAGCCACAGAGCACACAGCAGAGCCCAGGGCCCAGGCAGGAGTCCTGGTAGCTCCCTCAAGCCCTTGGGAGTCATTGGAGATTTCCGTGCACTCTGTGAGATGGCTCAGCGTCTTTAGTAATATACACACATATGGAGCCAAGAGGGCAAAATACCGATCCTGGTTCAGTGTTTGAATCTAGTAGATGAGTTTATAGTGACTATTTTTTCTATACTGTACTTTATAAATTGAAATATTTCCATAGTAAAAAGCTTTTTATTTTTCAAGTAGAAAAAGAACTGAACCAGTTTTGCCACCCATGTTCTTTTCTACTTGTGGTTTCCAGGCATGCACCTTGCTTTCAGGGACACGGTACCTTGCATTACCCCTGGCATCCCCAAGCCAGATGGGGTCCCCACTCCTCTCTGCCCATATCCATCCCATTAGGTCCCAGAGAGGAGTCTACTGAGCAGTTCCAGCTGCCACTACCCTCAGTCTCCCCGCAACCCTCAGCCCACTGACCACCCTACACCTGCTCCGTCTCCAGCGTCATGGTCCTGGGCTTCGTTAAGCACTTACTAAGCCCTAAATACTGAGCCAAGTATTTCACACCCGTCTGCTGTGTGGCTCCTCGGACAACCCTCCGAAGTAGGCGCTGTTTACAAATGAGGAACTGAGGCTCAGAGGGGCAGAGGACTTCTTACGGTCACATCTGTACAAAGTGGCAGAAACAGGATTGGAACCAGCTCTGCCTGCTTCCGGAACCTCTTTGCTCGTCTGCCTCAGCCCCCGGATGTTCCTCTAAGGAGGGACTGTGCCTTGCACTGCTTTCCATCTCCCAGGGTGTCCGCACGGCGAGGAGCGGCTGTTTGGTGACTTCATATCATTTTCTCAACTTGGAGATGCACTGGAGGAACCTCCAGCATCCACTGGTCACCCAGCCCCGCTGGGTCGGGGCCGGGCAGCACAGTCTGCCTTCATTTCCTTCTCTCCCCATTCCTGTCTCCAACACATACCTGGATCCCAGACCAGTCCCCCTAAAGGAGGGAGAGAAAACCCCTCTTAGGAGGTACCTCCCTTGGCCATCTAAGTCCCTCTCCCTTCCTCTCCTCACCTGAGACCCAGAGCAGCAGCAGTAGCAGCAGCAGCCGTGAGCCCCGTCCTGTCCATTCTAGCCAGGCGCTGGCCATCCCAGGGCTCTAGCACTTGCTGGAGGATGTTGCCCCATGTGGTGTCTTCCACCTTCTCTGAGAGGATTACCTGTTCCTTTGCAATTGAGAAACCCTGAGGGAAATGCAATGAGAGGGACCCGCTCAGGAAATGCAGAAGGAGAAGAGCGATCACTGGGCTTGTGACATCTTCCTTCCCGCTCCCATTATGCCATAGCCTGTGGGGCAGCACTCCCCATTCTCCACCACAGCAAGCTCTGACCCACCCACCGGATGCCCCACCTCTGCTCCACTCACTTCCTCAGAGCACCGAGACATCCTCCCCGAGCAGCCCCGAACCCCGCTGGTACATTCACATTCGGTTTGCCCTTCAGGGTCTGGTTCAGACCTTCCTGATGGCATGCCTTGTTTAATCTCACTCCCCACCATGCTTCTCAAGTATGAGCATGTGGCTGAATCGTGTGGGAAGGCTGGCAAACACACGCAGGCGCGGCTCCACCCCCGGAGACTCCAGTTTAGGAAGTCTAGAGAGGGCCCAGGATCTGCATTTTAACAAGCAGCACAGGTGATTGTGAGGCAAGTGGTCCCAATGGTGATGCCTGGAAAAGCTCTGCATGAGGTCAGAGGGGCCCCAAGACTTCCCAGGGTCCTCAGCCTGCGTCTGAGGTGAGCGCTTCCGGGAGCCCCAGTCTAGACACGGGGCATGGAGACCACAGTTGTAACGGTGCTGCGAGTGACTAATTGCCATGGACTGAAGGCCCATGTGTGCCAGGTGCTTTACCAGGTGATCTCACTTCATCCTACCAGCTTCGGGAGACTGTGTAGGGAATATTTGTCATCTTTTGAGTCTCCAGCCCCCAGTGCCTTTTCTTTTGGGGGGATATTCCCCAATGTGTGGGTCTCACTAGGACGCAAAGCTCCCCCCCGCCTTCCACTCCTTAGCGCCTATGGCACAGGCTTGGGACTTGACCTAAGCTTGGCCAAACGCATGATCCTGTGATGAAAGATGTGGGGCCAGTTGGAGATGAGTGCACATACAAAGCCCATGAACAGCATGGTGGCAGGTTCAAGTGGCTTCACGTGTGCAGGGGAGGGGCCGTAGCATCAATGGCAAGCTCACCACTAGACGGCCTCATGCTCTAACCTCAGCTGTGGCCTCTTGCCCACTCTCTCTTGGCTTCTGCTGTTTTCTAAGCCTGGTCCTGCAGCCTTCTCATTGAGTCTGTGAGCCACTGGCCTCTGTCTCAATTCCTTTGCGGCTCAAGACAGCCGGGCTTGCATCGAGCTGTTGGCAGCAAGAAGCATGACTGGCGTTGGTTATTTGGTCCACGAGACAATGAGGAGTGTCTCAAGGGTGAGGCCCAGAGAGATGCACAAAGTCTTTCAAGGTCAGACATACTTCAAGGATGTTGTGGAGCTGGGGTTTACCCTGGGTGTTGCTTACTTCCAAGGCCTGTGTAATGAACCACATAGCACTGTTGTGCCAGCCAACGTCCAGCAGGAGACAGGTGGCTCACTGACACCGCGTCAATGAGCCATGTTTGACAAAAGTGTGGTGGGATTTGGGGAAATCAGTAAGGGATGCTGCAGTACCCTGAGGCTGCTGCAGTGGTGAGTCATCACCACCTCTAGGCCTAAAGGGGCAGGGGGATGGAGCAGTTGCCTGAACTTGGAGATAGCAGCTGTCTGGTCAGCGGCATAAATGGGCCTCCATTCCACAGAGGAGGCCAGAGGATAAAATCCCTGCCCTCATTATCTTCCCATCCTCTGCCCTGCTTTCATGCTGCCCATGGGTGAAACCCAACTGGAAGCTAGTTGGCCAGGGAGGGAAGGATGGAGAGTGGGCCTACAGGCACAAATGGAAGAGTGTCCAGCACAACCATTTGTCTTCCAATTCAGTGTTCTTGATCTCTCAGGCAAGTTTAATATATTGGGCTTAAACACTACATAACCTATCATTACATTAAGCACACAAGCACACGAACTCCTGCAGCTGGTTACCTCTACTATGAACGTGTCGTGGTGTTTGGTAAGAAGCTTGATGACTTCTTGGAACTCTATCTCACAAACAAGCTTGAGAACCACCAAAAGAGAGCTGCACGTGCTGGGATGCAGTAGGTATGGAGGGGCCCTGGAATCTGCTTTATAAACAAACTAGAGGTCTGGTGCATGAAATTCGTGCATGGGGAGGGGGCGGTTCCCTCAGCCCAGCCTGCACCCTCTCCAATCTGGGACCCTTCGAGGGATGTCCGACTGCCGGTTTAGGCCCGATCCCCGGTTTAGGCCCGATCTCACAATCCTGGACCACTGGCTCCTAATAGCTCACCTGCTTCCCTGCCTGGTCATCCCTAACTGCCCCCCCCTGCCCCCCCAGCCTGATTGCCCCCCACCCTGCCGGCCTGATTGCCCCTAAGTGCCCCTCCACCCGCCGGCCTGGTTGCCCCTAATTGCCCCATGCTGCTGGCCAGGTCACCCCCAACTGCCCCCTCCCTGCCAGCCTGGTCACTCCTAACTGCCCCCCTCAGTTGGCCTGGTCACCCCCAACTGCGCTTGCCTATTGGCCTGGTTGCCCCCAAAAGCCCCCATGCTGGCCTGGTCACCCCACACAGCCTGCTTGTTCAGTCATTTGTTCATCCCTCACTAACCCTCCTGCTGGCCTGGTTGCCCCATGCATCCTGCTTGTTCAGTCGTTTGGTTGTTTCTCACTAACTCCCCTGCTGACCTGGTCGTAGGCAGCCATCTTATGAGGGTGTGATGGTCAATTTTCATATTACCTCTTCATTCTATAGGATGTTCCAGGAGACACTGATGCAGGAGGACTAGAGTTTGAGAAATGCTGCACTAACGTGTTCTGCTTCTCCTGGTTAACACTTAGCAATGGCACCTCCCTTGTCCCTTCGTGAACAGGAACAGCATTGGACCTGCTGGCCTGCAGGTACCAGACAAGCAACCTCAGAAAGCAAACACTGCATGCCCTGTGGCTACTACCTCTGAGCTGCTCGGCTCCCTTAGGGAGGAAAATAGATGCACCGAGATGAACAGTTGCTGGAAGAAGTGCTTCTCAGAGACAAGAATTCCCTTTGCACATTTTCTGATGGACCCAAAATTGGGGGGTGAGAGAGAGTCTCTCTGGGGTCAGTGCCATCCTCCTGGAGGCTTCAGACAGAGCAGCTGCCCTCAGGTTGATGCAGAAGTCCTTGTATGAGGGCCCTGTGATCAGGATGGGTTGGGCAGGACTGTACTCAGCACTCAGGTGTCTTTTTTCCCACAGCAGTGGGGAAAACCATGCTGAATGTAGGAATATGTTTTCCTAACGTAAGCTGGAAGGTGTGTTTGTTCTTGGGGAATTTGATATGAAACTAGAGGAACAGTGCATGAAATTCATGCACTGGGGGGGGGGGGTCCCCTCAGACCGGGCTGCGCCCTCTCGCAGTCCAGGACTCCTCAGGGGATGTTCGCCTGCCGGCTTGGGCCCAATCCTCTGACGGTAGTGAGACATCCCTCTCGCAGTCCGGGGCTCTTGCAGTCCAGGACCCCTTGCTCCATAACCGCCCGCCTGCAGTGGAGGCGGGAGAGGCTCCTGTCACTTCTGCTGTGCTCGCCAGCCATGAGCCTGGCTTCTGGCTGAGCAGCACTACCCCTGTGGGAGCGCACTGACCACTAGGGGGCAGCTCCTGTGTTGAGCGTCAGCCCCCTGGTGGTCAGTGCACATCATAGAGACTGGTCATTCCTCTGGTCATTCTGCCATTCGGTCGATTTGCATATTAGGGTTTTATTATATAGGATTAGCCTTGGCCATTGCTGAATTGGAGTAGGAGGACCTATCAATTTTTTCCCCACCGATGGGGGACCCTTCCCCGTTTAGAGCCAAAAGAGGTAGGAGATTGGAACGTCCTGATTTAAATCTGTTGGATTTTGGAAGTCACAGGTGGGCCTGCACACCTGCTGCATGGGTGATCGTGGGAGCTGAAGGGGACTCTCAGGGGCAGACCCAGAGAGGAAGAGGAAGGCAGAGTGGGGAGCCGGGAGTGCGCATAGGGGAGAGCCTCCTGAAGCCTAATGTTGAGGTCTTGTCATGCCACCATCCCTCCCCTTGTGAGATACACGGGAAAGAGACACGTGGAGGCATCCCAGGAAGAGCTCCTGGCTGTTCTCTTCTCTATGGGCTGAGTCTTCAGGAAAGGGACTCTTTAATTTTTGTTCCTGCCAACAAGCGATGACTTTCTACTCATGTGGCCTCATTCCAGCCACACTCTGCCCTGCCTTCCTGGGCTTGTTCTGAGGGTCCAGGGACGATGCACACAATAGACACGTGATATTCTCTGTCAGTGACATTCTCTGCCAGTCTCGTCCTTCAAAGCCTCTCTCATCCTCCCAGTACTGTCCCCAGAGGCTGCCTTCTGGTTCGTTGGTTTCTCTTCCCCAAAGGGGAATTCTCCCCGTGGCGTCCTGTGTTCTCCTCATTCCGTGGCTTTCAACACCCTTTCCTGGGAGTGTTGGAAAGGCGCAGCGGAAGGGAGGAACCCACGCATCTGGTTCTAGAAGAAAGGAAGGTCCCGTGGCCATGGCTGAGAGAGCAGGATGCTTCTGTGGTGCTGCTCTGCCCGGGTCTGGCCCCAGTGCAGTGGTCCAGGGCAAGGACCAAGGCAGATTTAGCAGCTGTGCCCTCTGTACCTCATGACCCCACAGGACAGCAAGTGACAGTGAAAAGCATTGGGCTGTTTGCAGCCACCCTTCGCTCTCTAACGCCTGCACCGCCTCCAGCTCCCCGAGCTCCAGCCGAAGGAGAAGGGGGGTAAGTAAAGTGGTCTCTCTACCATGACTCCTACAAAGCAGACTGCCTGCAAATCCACTGCGGGTAAAGCACCCAGGAAGCAACTGGCTACCAAAGGCTCTCGAAAGAGTGCGCCCTCTACTGGAGGGGTGAAGAAACATCATCTTTACAGGCCTGGTCATGAAATTAGACATTGTCGGAAGTCCACTGAACTTCTGATTCACAACCTTCCCTCCCAGCGTCTGGTGCGAGAAATGGCTCAGAACTTCAACACAGACCTGCGCTCCAAAATGCAGCGATTGGTGCTTTGCAGGAGGCAAGGGAGGCCTGTCTGGGGGGCCTTTGTGAAGACCCCGACCTGTGCGCTCTTCATGCCAAACGTGTAACAGTTATGCCCAAAGACGCTGAGCCAGCACGCCGCACACCTGGAGAACGTGCTTAAGATCCACTCTGCTGGGAAACATTTCATTCTTTTAAAAGATTTCTCTTCTTCCTGTTATTGGTAGTTCTGAACATTAGAGTTGTTGTTGTTTTTTTACCATGGGGTCAAAAGGTTCCTAAGTATATGATCGCAAGTTGAAAATAGGCGACAGAAACTTGGCAGTTTTTCCATTTTCATTTGTGTGTGGATGTTTTTAATATAAATGCGGGGACATAAAGCATGAATGCAAGTCAAATGTTTCCGTGAACAAGTTTCAGCAGTTCATCTTTATAACAATATAAATAAACCTGTTAAATTTTTCTAGGCAATGTCACCAATTGGATTTTTTTAAAAAAACAAGTTAATTCCTTATTGATGGCAACGAAATGGTGTTTGTAGCATTTTTATCAAACAGTAGATTCCATCCATTCACTATACTTTTCTACCTTAGTTGTCCTACATGAAAGTAGATGTTTTGTTTGGTTTTTTAAATATATTTTTATTGATTTTTTACAGAGAGGAAGGGAGAGGGATAGAGAGTTAGAAACATCGATGAGATAGAGACATCGATTAGCTCCCCCCTGCACACACCCCACTGGGGATGTGCCTTCAACCAAGGTACATGCCCTTGACCGGAATCGAACCTGGGACCTTCAGTCCACAGGCCAACTCTCTATCCACTGAGCCAAAACAGCCAAGGGGCAAGTACATGTTTTTAATGTTGTCTGTCTTCTGTGCTATTCCGGTAAGTTTGCTATTAAAATAAAAAAAAAAAAAAGCATTGGACTCCATCTTAATTTAATGCAAACCCCGGGCCGCTAGGGGAATGGAGGCCCAGGGCACGTCAGGGGCTGTATCTTCTCCTCTGATGGGCCAGAGCACACACCCACGGTTGTTAGTGACATGAGGGGAGTCAGCAGGCCCAGCAAGGTGGGTCCTGAGCCTTAGAAATAACCTGTGTCACAGATTCAACTCAGTCCTTGCCCTCCCCACGCCCCCGGCCTCCGCTTTCACATGCTTCTTCTGGCACAACTACCAGATGGACGTGGATGGAGGTCGCAGGGCATTCTCCGGGGGTCATGGACTTAGCGGCCAAATGACCTCTGTGTGGCGATCAACAGGAAAGTGAAGACCAGGCTCTTACTGAGGATTCCACACACCACGATCGTGACGGTGCTGATCACGGAGATCCTGGGGGGCGGGGGGGGGGGGGAGATTTAACGCTGCTGCTGGCCATGACACCCCTCCCACTTGAGCTTTACTCCTCAAAGGTTCTTCACACGCTGTTTTATCAGCGTGGGGTCTCCCAGCGCCTTTGCCCACACTGGCTGCCTCTGTGCTTTTAGTTTGTCCCATGGCCTAAACCTGCTGACGTAGGTTTAGTAGAGAACACGGGGTCAGGAGAGGCAGCGAGGGGAAAGGCAGGTTGAGCAAGCTCCTCTTCCTCCGCTGGGATGACTAGAGAGAGCGGCCCAGAGCCCGGAAGCCCAGTTTCTGTTCCCAGAATCAGGACCTACTTCCGCAAAACGTCCCTCGCCTCTTTGGCCTCAGTTTCCTCCTCTATCAGCCGAGAAGAATCCAATTCTTATCAAAATCCCATCATGAATTTGTAGAGATTTTTAGCAAAACTTATTCTAAATGTCCTGGGTCAATGTCATTAGACAGCAGGAGAACAGGATAGAACTGAGTGAGGAACGTGGCCCGTCTACACTCAGTAGACATGGGAATAGATCACAGCACAAGGGCCTGCGTGACAAGACACGGAGCCACAGGAGGAAAGGTAGCAGGGAAACACTGACATCCAGAGGCAGATCTAATGTTACCTAAGAATTTAAAATTTAAATTTGACATTTTTAAGTAACTGAAAAGTCACCAGGAAATAGACTCAGGCACAAGTAAGGAATAAAACAAAGCCGTCATTTTAGAATTGGCATTAGCCTACACAAAACTAAAAACCGAATGTACAAACTAGCAAGGTGACCAAGGACATAATGGCTCTAGATCAGGGGTGGGCAAACTTTTTGACTCGAGGGCCACAATGGGTTCTTAAACTGGACCGGAGGGCCGGAACAAAAGCATGGAGTGTTTGTGTGAACTAATATAAATTCAAAGTAAACATCATTACATAAAAGGGTACGGTCTTTTTTTTTTTTTAGTTTTATTCATTTCAAACGGGCCGGATCCGGCCCGCGGGCCGTAGTTTGCCCACGGTTGCTTTAGATAATGGGAAACAAACCTGCGGCCTCCTCATCCACCCCCTGCCTGTGAAACTGTCCTGAATCACCGGAAACGACATGTGGAAGGTGCCTGGTCAAGTTCAGACACCAGGGGAGCTGGTGGCTGGTGGGGCATGGGGCAGGGGCCAGCCAGCCCAGCCAGTGCCTCCCTGGCCCTCCTCCCTGTGGCCTGGGCCTGGGTTGGAGCCCTGCTGCCGAAGTGCCCCAGCTAGGGCGCCTATAACTCCACCTCCTTCCAGTCTCTGCTGCCAGTGCCCCGCCTTATCCCCTCCCAACCTTACAACACGTTCCTTATACCGGATCTCCTAGCGGGGGTCACTCTCCCGGGCCAGCACACAGCCCTTCGGAGAAGAGACTGCACGCAGGGCAGACCTCTGCCGTGCCTGGGAGTCCGTGGGCCGCCCTCACTGGGGGCTGGAAATTCCGGAACAGAAATACTCCAGCTCTCTGGCCCTGGTACAGACAGCTCTAGGTGTGACCTGTGAGTCCCCAGGACCCTCTGCAGGACTGAGCCAGAGTTCCACCCCTCTCTCCACCCCACCCACCCCTCCCGGTATTCAGCTTGGTTACCACAGCCTTCGCCAGGCTGCCCTCTCCCCGGTCCCACTTCCCTAATGGGTTTATCTGTGGCAGCTTCCTAAATCTTCTGCACAAGACGTTCCCCACAGCCTGCTTCTGGGGAGCCCACCCCCAACAGGGAGACAAGTGGCTTCCTCCGAAGGGCCTCTCCCTCTGCACCCAGACTCAGCACCGTCACCTGGGAAGACCGCTCCCTGTACTGGACTGCCTTGTTTTCAAACAGCTCAGTGGCTTCGGCTCTCCTGCCTGGACTCTGAGAAACTAGCTTATAATTAATTGTAGATAAAGTGAATAGTTAAAAGCGGTGCAGGTGCTGGCTCCATAGGAATGTGGGCAAAGGTTATGCACGCTCATTAACATACTAGAAACTAAAAGTTGTGGATAAAAATGTTGGCCCTGGCCAGGGTGGCTCAGTTGGTTGGGTATCATCCCATGCACCAAAAGGCTGTGGGTTCAATGCCAGATCAGGGCACATGCCCAGGTTGCGGGCTCAGTCCCTCATTGAGGGCCTGTGGGAGGCAGCCTATCGATGTTCCACTCTCACAATCATATTTCTCTTTCTCTCTCCCTCTTCCTTCCTCTCTCTCTCTCTCTCTCTCTCTCTCTCTCTCTCTCTCTCTCTCTCTGATCAATGAAAATATTTTTTAAAAATGGTTGACTCTCACTAGATCACTTAGTTTATTTTGCTCCTAAAGATTTAATGAGCACCTACTACATGCCAGGCGCTTAGGCTGGTGCCACTGAAACAATCCAAGAGGGAAAGGCACTACCAGCACCGAGCTCACCACCCACAGTGACAGGGACATTCCAGTTCGCACCGCTGTGGGCAGGACCGGTTCCGAAACACCAAGTCCCCGGGGCCCGCCGGCAGCCACCGCGCCCGCTGTGCCCTATGGTCACACCGCTCCCCACCTTTGGAGGAGCATTGGGCATACAGAACGGCACAAATGTTCCACTTCTCTCAACCGGAGTTTTGTTTCAATAAATGATTTCAAGAAAAGACATCTGCAAAAGTATGTCCATCTCAGAGTTAAGTCTATAAAGAAAATGGAAACAAATCTCAACATCTAAAAACAGGCCAGTGATTACATAAGTTATGGTTTCCCTGTTAATACAAAAGCATACTTTCGTTGAAATTATAATTAGGAAGAATAGGTAGCAACATCAGAGAAGAGTTTTCGCAGGGAAAATTAACGAAAACGTGTAGAAATATCACTGTGTTAAGATATGTACAAACAGAAATAAGCATTGGAGTTCAGCGAAGATGCCATTTCCCTGCCTCCTCTGGCTCCCCAGGAAAGCGAGGGTGAACGGGGAGATGCAGCCTCACCAGAGCCTCCTCCTCCCTCCAGCTCCACCTCCCTCCTCCCTGGGAAGTCCGACCAGATGGAAGTGACTCAGATCTCCTGGGCTTCACCTCCCCATCCCTCACTCCCCACATCCCCTCAGGACAAGGACTGGGGATCAAAGGGCTAGGGGTCCAAGCCAGCCACCCATCCCCCGCGGAGAGACCTGGGCTCCATACTGAGGACATCTGTCCCGTGTGTGGGGTTGACTCCGAGGCCAGCAGTTGACTCCGAGGCCGGCAGCTGGGTCACAGGACTGGGGTTGGTACGAGTCTTGACCCGGGCCTTGGTGGTAACAGGAGGAAGAGTGGACCTCTGAGCCAAATCCTGGGCAGGATCTGCAAGAAGACACATTGGATGGATGGATGGACGGACGGACGGACGGATGGGTCATAGGGTAAATGGATCTGAGGAGGGAAATGAACTTTGACATTCATGACATGAGGTTTTCTTTTGCTAAGATTTTTTTTTAATGTGTAGCGTCAGCCTGGGTCAGAGACCGGAAAAAAAAGAAGGAAGGGAGGACAAAAGAGAAGGAGGAAGGACTTTTTTGCTCCTGTCATTGGAAATGCACTTGCCTGCTACTCTTCACCAATCCATATGCCCCCACCTTCTTCAACAATAATCCTTGACTCCTCCAGCTCTCACCATTCCCTCTGCCTTGCACTCACCTATACCTGCGGCCTATTGCTTCACAAGTCATTGTTCATTATGTATCGCACACGTTACCTGTCTTCCTTAGGCTTAGGCTTCCCCAGGTGCTGGGAACTTGAACTTGTCTCTCTTTCCTCTGCCTTCCTTAATTCATCAGATCAACATCTATTGCAGACCTACTGTGTGCCCCGCACTGCATTAATCAGACTACATTAGTTGCTGGGGATACAGACCTGAGCCAGGCACAGGCTCCTCCCTCACACTGCTCAGAGATAAATAGGGGAGACAGGTAAGTGAACGGCCACTGCTACTCAGTGAGATAGTGTTGTCCGTGAAAGGGGGTGCAAAGTGAGCCCAGGAGCCTTGCTACCCACAATGGGAGCCATGGACCTCACATCAGCATCATCTCTAAGCAGATCAGAGATACAGAATCTAGGTCCCACCCTAGACCTGTCGAATCCTCTGTATTTGAAATAAGATCCCGGGTGATCTGTGTCCACAAGGAGGTCTAAGAAGCACTGCTTTGTACGCACACAGGAGGACCACCAAATGCACCTTTAGGAGGGGGAGAGAGGGTCCCGACTACATGAATTCTAAAGAATGAGACGAGCTCTAGCTGGTTTGGCTCAGTGGATAGAGTGTTGGCCTGCGGACTGAAGGGTCCTGGGTTCAATTCCGGTCAAGGGCACATGCCTGGGTTGTGGGCTTGATCCCCAGTAGGGGACATGCAGGAGGCAGCTGATCAGTGATTCTCATCATTGATGTTTCTATCACTCTCTCCCTCTCCCTTTCTCTCTGAAATAAATAAAAATAAAAATATTTTTTAAAAATAAGAGACAAAATTATCCCAAGTCTACCACTCACCTTTCACTGTACCCCTCTTCCTATAAGAGCACCCCAAATTAGACTCTGCAACCCAAGAGGAATCCTATACATAGAAACCCTTTCTCACTGTTGGACCAAATGCCTCACGGGGACCTCAAATGACAGACCTGGAACTTCTGGGAGAAAGACAGGCTGCTGGAAACCCTGGGACACAGCCCTGCAGGTGCCATCACCACAGCCCCTGCCCCCACCCAGCCTGGCTCTCCCACTCCACCTCCCAGCCCCAGGCCACTCACCCTTTGTCACCACCAGGCGTATGGGATGGTGCAACAGGACGGGGGCCTTGGGAGGCTGGTAGATCACACACTGATACAGTCCCGAGTCCTCCACTCGCAGGTCGGTCATATGGACATGCAGTATGCCTTCAGTGGGGATGTCTTCTAGGGAGCACCTGTCCACATGGACTTTGGAGCTCTGCCCGGAGACCCTGTCTGTTATTGCCAGTGTCTGGATCTCCCCTCTGTCGCCCAGCCTCTGCCACGCCTTCCGGATGCTGAAGTACTTCATCACATTGAAGGGACAGCTCTCACTCAGGCTCTGGCCCTCCGTCCGAGTATACTTTATCTCCTCTGATCTGGGCGCACCTTGGAGTTCTGTGAGCAGGGAATCAGAGGCAGGCTCTGTAAGTTTTCCTCTCTTTGGAAAGAACGAGGGGAACCACCTTTTTTTCTTGTTCAACCACCCATTTCTTTCAGACAAGATCCGTATGGCCTCCAGCAAAGAGGCAACTTTCACTGTGAGTAGCTTCTGTCTGATTGTTTGTTTTTTAACTACACCAGCTAGACTGCAGATGGTTCTTGCAAATGGTCTTTTATGAATGACTAGAGGCCCGATGCATGGAATTCGTGCAAAGGCCACTGCCACAGCGGCCGGGGGCCTCTGCCGCCTCTGCCTCAGCCCCCGCCCCCACCACCTGCAGCTTTGTCCGGAAGGGAGGAGGTCTGGAAGGACATCCGGTCTAATTAGCATATTATGCTTTTATTATTATAGATTGTTTTTGAGAGGAAGAAATACCTGATTAAAGACAGAACATGGGACACGTGCTAAGACCATGCATGACGAGGGCATGATGGGAGGGAAAGATTATAGAGAAAGACAGAGTGAAGAGTGGATGCGTGGACACTCTACTAGCAGAGATGGACTCCTCCCAACAGCTAGAGGAACTTCATCTAAGTCAGGAAAAGAGATCAGTTCGAGAAACTATTGAATAAACAGCGAGGAAACCATCTTGAGGACATGGCGGACATAGGTATCTGACTGGCTGGTATTCCTCTGGGCCTTCCTTGGGTAGCAAAGCACCTCTCTCTCAGGGGACCGATCCTATGTGGCTTTACTCCTGGGGCTGCCCACATGCTCAAGGATGGAACACGACACAGGCTTAGCCAATCAAAGAATCTCTTCACCCTGGCCACTCTGATTGGTTTAGGAATGGGCACATGACTGGAGCTGAGCCAATTAGAATTCTCCCTGAGACTACTGTAACTGTTGAGAAGAATGCTCTTTCTTGCTAAAGTTGATAGGTCAGTGGGATATGGAACTTCAATTGCTATATTTCTACCAGGGGCAGTTTTGCGCCCCCTGGGGACATTGGGCAATGCCTGGAGACATTTTGGTAGGGGCCAGAGATACTGCTAAACATCCTACAATGCACAAAACAGTCCCGTGAACAAAGAATCATCCGACCCAAAGTGTCAATAATACCAAGGTTGAGATCCCTTGGGTTCCACTGACACTAGTTTCAATCAGCAGTCCCAGCCCAAGTGTGAATGGGTGCCTAGTGACTCTGTTCCCTGGACACAGAAGCTAGAAGGAGCTTTTAGTTAACCCCAAGCCTTCGCCGTAGGGCATGGCAAGTACACAACCCTCTTCTCCCAGTTCTCCTTTTGAAAAACATGAAATGCACTGGTTCATGAAAGCCAAACTCCATCTGCCCACCTGGATTATCACCCCTGATTCTGCTAAATTTGTGTAGCCAAAGCCAGCCTGAAATAACTACTGGTCAGCTCTAACTTGGGCGGTCATAGCTCCTGGAGATTTAAAGGAAAAGGGAAACCTTTCTCATGCTGGGATCTCCCGGGCTCCTGGCAGAGGCCTCACCCACTCCCTTCTCTCCCTCGCCTTACCTAAGATGAAGGACGTCCACAGCAGCCCCCAGAGCCTGGCCTTCCTCATCCTTCATGGGCACCAACTCCAACTGCCAGCGTGGCTCCTGGGACAGCTATAAGGTGGCAGTCTGACCTAATGGCTCCCGGAAGTTGCACAACAGGATATGATGCTGCTGCTGGGAGTTCTGCATCTGTTGTTTCCATCACTGGTTGCCTCGGCTCCAGACGTCAGAGACAACGCAAGAGTCCAGAACCAGGGCTCCAGTCTTAACTGAGCTTATCCAAACCCCAGCTTCCTGTTCTCTGGGGATGATGACAATGACCTTTTCAACTATCCCATGATATTGTCTTGAGAATAATATTTTTGTGTGAACAAAAATGAGGTGTGAACATTATCAGTGGACGAGAGAGCCACCTTGCTCTCTGAGGCCCACTCTCCATCCCATCCAGTCCTCAGAAGTGAGAGGGCCAGGCACACCGCAGATGGGTTGAGTCTCGATACTGCATTGCTAGGGGCTGTGTGAGGACTAAATGAGGTCCATGGGGAAAGTGCTCAGTGAGGTACCTCACACACAGTGTGTCTACGTCCTGTCCCTATTCACCGCACCCTGTTTCCCGTGGCTTTTTTTTTTTTTCAAATTGATTTCAGAGAGGAAGGGAGAGGGAGTGTGAGAGATAGAAACATCAATGATGAGAGAGAATCATTGATCGGCTGCCTCCTGCACGCCCCCTACTGGGGATAGAGCCCACAACCCAGGCATATGCCCTTGACCTGAATCGAACCTGTGATCCTTCAGTCCGCAGGCCGACACTCTATCCACTGAGCCACACTGACTAGGGCCCTTGGCTTTTTCTGATATGAGGCCCACCCCCTCTTTATCACTAGACTGGCCCACACCCGGCACTTGCCCTCAGCATTCTGTACTAGACGTGGCCATGGTATAGGAAACCCAGAAACATGTTGAGAGGATATAGCCACCATCAAATAAGAATAGACTTAGGCCCTGACCGGTTTGGCTCAGTGGTTCAATTCCGGTCAAGGGCATGTACCTTGGTTGCGGGCACACACCCAGTGGGGGGTGTGCAGGAGGCAGCTGATCGATGTTTCTCTCTCATCGATGTTTCTAACTCTCTATCCCTCTCCCTTCCTCTCCGTAAAAAATCAATAAAATATATATATTTTTTAAAAAAGAATAGATTTCAAAAGGAAGAAAGAAAGAAAACAGGGTGCTATGTCATTACAGCACAGTGATGAAAAAATGGGGGAAACTCAGCAGGTTCCATTCTAGAAGCAATAGATGACAGCTTTGGTGGTGTGAAAGCTAATGAGTAGAGAGAAGATTCACATCAGAAATGCTCCCAAATGAAAAATGAATAAAGACATTTTGAAGAGCTCAGAAGTAGAGTGGAGGACAAGTCATAGAAATGCAACCTGCAAATAATCTGGAAATAAAAGATGTTCTTCTCTCTTTCTTAAATTTTTAAAAATTGATTTTAGAGAGGAAGAGAGAGGGAGAGAGATAGAAACATCAATGATTAGAGAGAATCATTGATCTACTGCCTCCTGCACACCCCCTACTGGGGATCCAGTCCACAACCTGAGCATGTGCCCTGACAGGGAATCTAACCGTGACCTCCTGGTTCATACATAGGTCAACGCTCAACTACTGAGCCACACCAGCTGGGTGAAATAAGAGATGTTCTTGAAGTATAACATGGAATAATGGGACATAAATGAGGATAAAATGTATATATTTTTAAAAACTTTCAGTACACCATGGCAACTATAGGTAACAATGTTTGAAAGTTGCTAAGATCTGCCTGGCTGGTGTGGTTCAGTGGTTGAGCATTGACCTATGAACCAAGAGGTCAAGGTTTGATTCCCAGTCAGGGTACATGCCCTGGTTCGACTTAATCCCCAGTAGGAGCATGCAGAAGGCAGCCAATCAATGATTCCCTCTCATCATTGATGTTTCTATCTCTCCTCTCTCTTCCTCTCTGAAATCAATAAAAATACATATATTTGAAAAAATATTTAGAGATATTTATTGCCCCAGTATTGCATTACTCTAAAGTTTATTAATAATCTTATAAAATATGACTAGGTTATGATCAATAATCCACTCAATTATATGAAGAATTATTATAGAAATATTATACTTGAAAAAAGACCCAAGTGGAATGATAGCACTGATTTTCAATTTTAGATGGATTACAAAAACCAATTAATATAGACACCAATTATTTATACAATAAACACGCAATTTTCATTTTTATATGAATTACAAAAGCCAGTTTATGTAGACACCGTTTATACAGGGCAACTTTTAAATTTTTTATAAAATAATTATAACAGAAACCATTAGCCTTGTATGAAAGAACTGCCATTCATTCCACAGTAACTGCACTATTATCAAATAGAAGGAACACAAAGTCACTTTTTAAAGAAAAATAGTTTTAAAAATAAGTTATAAATGTCCAAACGCAGTCTTTTGCTGTTGTTGTTTTTTCCTTTTTTGTTGGTTTTTTTATTTTTATTTGTTTTTTGTCCCCAAGAAAAAGCAGGACCCTCAGGTCGCTAAACTGACCACTAGAGGGAGCAATATACCTGGTTTATCTTTGGACGAGCTTCATCACTTCATACTCCTAATCAAGTGGGGGTGTGGGGGTGGCATTCTAAGAGGCCGTTCGTTTTTAGACTCCTTATCCTCACCCCTCAATTCTCGAAAGGTAATATCTCTTATCCTGCTAATAATCTTTCACACTAAAGTAATTTTAGCCTGGAATAATTTTTTAATTTTATAGCAGCTATTATTTTTAAAGAGGGTCTACCCACGGAAGCACAAGATTGCCCTTTGGTCTAGCTGAATCTTGGTTTACATACAGGCTTTATGTTCTAGGAAGGTCCCAGGGACAACAGGATCCTCTATACATGAGTGTATGCCTGGCTCTGATCAGTTAGAATTAGTTGGCTAAATATAACAAAAATCAGCCGAAACCGGTTTGGCTCAGTGGATAGAGCGTCGGCCTGCGGACTGAAGGGTCCCAGGTTCGATTCCGGTCAAGGGCATGTACCTTGGTTGCAGGCACATCCCCAGTAGGGGGTGTACAAGAGGCAGCTGATTGATGTTTCTTCCTCATCGATGTTTCTAACTCTCTATCCCTCTCCCTTCCTCTGTGTAGAAAATCAATAAAATGTATTTTAAAAAATCAGAGTGGCTTACTCAAAATAGTAGTTTATTATTTCTCACTAAAAAAGTTCAGAGATAGGCATTTCAGGGCTATCGGTTCATCATCGGGACTTGGTTCCTACTCCCCATCCCACCATCCCAGTTCACGGCTTCCCACTTCTGTCATCGTGTGGCCCAGATGACTGCTGGAGCGCCAGCCATCACACTGTGTTCCAGGCAGCCAGAGAGCGCTTTCATGTTCACTACCTTAGCTCTGATGGGTCCTCCCCTCAGCTCTGGGCATCAGGGCCTGGTGCCCCTCCCCCTACACCCCCCCCCCCCCCCGGAGTGGCTTGATGCTTGTTCTACAGAGGATGAAAGCCTCTTCCTCCGGGCTCTTACCGAGGGAGACCCCCAAGCCCCAATCTTTCTCATGAGCCCCTGGAGAGGAGATTGCAAGTGGGTGTGAACACTCCTCCTGTGTCTTGGCGTCTCAGGAGTTTTGTGCTGTCATGCTAGCCTGCATTGACCTTTGACAATTTGTAAAACTCTTAGCTGAGTGGTTCATGTCGACTTGTTTGGCATGCTGCGTCTCTTCCTCCCTTTCTGTGAAGAGGTGAGCCAGTGCTCAGATCTCAAGTGCACTTGGTTGCCTTACAAGTTCAGCTCTCTTGTAGGTTCAGGAAAAGTTTGCCCGGCTTTTCCTTCTCGGTCAGATGAGAGCAGAACTCACTTGAGCTTTCAAAATCCTAGGCAGGCACTGAATGTGAGAGGCCGTGTGTGAGGAATGGCTGAGAATTTTTCAGAGCAATGGAAAGTCATCAAGCCACAAGAGCAGGTTATCATAAACCCGCCAACAGAAACAGAAAGAAACCCTCGTCTCCGCATCTTGAAAAGAAATTGCAGAACAGAGAGGAAGCAGCCATCACTTAGGAAGAACTTTGGACAGCAGACTTTTCAACTACAACAGTGCAACCTGGAAGGTAGTAGAATAGTGTCACCGAAATGCTTAGGAAAATTAACTGTTGGACTGAAATGGTAAACCCAACAAAACTCTGCTGTGTTCCTTAGGATTAGGCTCAGCTATAAAGAATAGAAAAACTATGAATAACAGCGCTTATCATAGCTATAGTTTATTTCCATCTTGTGTGAAACCCAGAGCTAGACTGACGAAGGGGTGGGTGAGTCTGTGCTCCACAAAGTTCTCAGTCTCGGGCTTCTTCCAGCTCAATAGGCTGCCATCACCCAATTGTTCTTATGCTCATAATCCAAGGCCACATTCACAACTTCAAAATCCCTTTTCTTCGATACTCAACTTCTCTAGCTATTAGGGAAAAGCAAATCAAAACTTCAATGAGATACCACCTCACACCTGTTAGAATGGCTCTTATCAACAAGACAGGCAATAACAAGTGCTGGAGAGGTTGTGGAGAGAAAAGCACCCTCGTTCGCTACTGGTGGGAATGGAAACTGGCACAGCCACTAGGGAAAACAGTATGCAGGCTCCTCAAAAACTTAAGAATAGAGTTACCACATGACCCAGCAACCCCTCTTCTGGGTATCTAACTGAAAAACTTGAAAACATTGGTTCATAGAGATATATGCACCCTTATGTTCATTGCAGCCTTATTCACAGTGGCCAAGACATGGAAACAAACAAAGTGTCTTCAATAGATGACCAGATAAAAGGAGATGTGGTATAGATACAATGGAACGCCACTCAGCCATAACAAAGGATGAAATACTGCATTTGCAGCAACATGAATATCATGTGAAGTGAAATAAGTCAGAAAAAGCTAAGAATCATGATTCCACTCATATGTGGGATATAAAACTGAAAGCAACAAGTGAACGAACAAAACAAACAAAAGCTCATAGACACAGACAACAGTATGGTGGTTTCCAGAGGGAATGGGAGAGGGAGGCAGTAAAGGATAAAGGGGGTCCAATATATGCTGACAGGAGATTTGACTTGAG